GCAGGTTTAAACCCAGAGTGAAACAGAACACAAAACTCTGATATGAGGAATAAAGACTGAAAATGGCTGGAAAGGCTGCCACTGTTCTCTCTCAGACACACACACAAATACACACAGAGAAATGTGGTGCCAAATAGGGCAGCTCAAGGAGCTTTGATGTCGGTCTCTCTTGGAATGCTCTCTTCTCCTCTCCCGCCTTTATACTCCTCTCTTTCTTTCTATCCCCCTCTCATTCTTTCTTCTGTTTTCCTCACAGTTTCTCACAGCAGGCAGGAGCACAGGGCAGAATGAACCAGTGTATAGAGCAAAAAGCAAAAAAAAAATTTTTTCCCCTGATTGTCAATGCTCAATTTTCTGTACGGGTCTTTCGGTTGGATACGCATGTGGAGTGTGGAACTTCACTGGAAACTTCCAGTTTTATATATTGTTACTTTTGATACAAAACAAAGTCTCATCTTTCAAATTATGTCCAGTTTTTTTCAAGAAAATTCAAACAATAAATGCCGTTTTGACGCTCCTTGATGTGGTGTGACAGGTGTTGAGTATCGTTTGAATTTTATCGATTCCGGTTCCGATTCTGCTTATCGATTCCGATTCTTATCGATTCCTAATTCCGATTCCAATAAGATAAAAAAAAACATTAAACAAATTTTAAGTCAAGTATTTAGTAGATGTCAAACGTATTTATTCTGTTTTATGTCTATGGTTTTATAAAAAAAAAATACCACAGAAAAAAACAACTAGACTAATATAAATTTCAAACATTAAATTGTTAAAGACAAGTAAACAAATTAATTAGCAATAGCATAAATAAATAAAACTGAACAAATGTCAGGTACAGAAATTGAAATCAAAAGTTTAAAAACACTGTATAGTTTTCTTTTCATAAATAAAATATTGATTAATCCTCATTAAATTTACGAAAGATATTCAGTCAGTTAATGATTTTCTTTTGTTCTTTGATTAAAATTAATGATAGGCAGCACGTTTATTAGACGGCTGTCTCTATAACACCGAACACACACAGATCTAAAAATACTGTTACACATGCGTTTTCTTTCTCATCTGTTTACGTTCACTTAAGACAAAAAAACAGCTGTGTTTATGATGATATACTGATGTATTTCGTGCATACTGGTTGATAAATGTGAAAGAGAAGTCAGTTCTGGCCCGGAACAACCTTTGTGGAAATGCACGGAACAGTTTGAGAACGGACACAGGTCGGGACCACTGTTCTCTGTGCTCGCGCTTCAGATGTGTGCGCTGCATGCAAGTTCTTTCCCTTCCTGCACTTAAATAGATTAAATCACATTAAAATGAGAACTCGGGAATCGTTAAGCGGAATGGAAATGCACATGTCTTATCGAATACCCGATTATTGGAAATTTGGAACCGGTTCTCGATACCCAACCCTAGTGACAGGTCACTGTATATAGGCGCCTCAGTTCAAATGGCAGCGCAGAGCACGAGTGAGCGTGATCATCCCTTCCTCTTTACTACTAGTTTTAATGCAAAATAAACATGAATGAACATCTCATGCCTCATGTAATCGCTCAATCAGTGTTTCAACCGCGGAATGTATTGCATTATGTGCAATTTACATGTTTGAATACAATTTTTTTTTAAATAAAAAGTAATTAAATTGAAGTTTGGGTTCTATTGTTAATTGTAACCTTATAGTAATGTAAAAGGGCTCCTTATAGTTTAGAGCATAAGCTGAGGTAGATTTTTATCCCTAAGGAAATTTTAATTATAATTGAATTTAAAGAAAGAGCAATTTGTTTAGTAAACCAGTAAAAAAAAATTTTTTTAAGTAATTTTGTGTTTAGTTTTTCCCCCTGCTGTACCGAAACCATACCGAACCGTGACGTCAAAACCGAGGTACGTACCGAAGCATCATGTTTGTGTACCATTGAATGAATGAATAAAATGAATGAATATGACGAACATTTATCAATTGAAAAAAATATGAATTAAAAAACTGCAAAAATGCAAGTTAGTGTGTGTCTGTCTTTGAGAGAGAGAGATCGAGGAAAGAGAGAGCTTGAGTTTGTGGGAGATGGGAGTGTTTGTGTTTGTGGAAGGAGGAATTCAGCGAGTTTGTGGGAACCTGGTGTGTGTGGATCTCTTCTGGTCTCATTGCTGGTGTCAGATGACAGGCGTGTCTTTGATCAGTCTGTTATTAGTGAGGTGTGTATGGGCAAGAGGAATTCAGATCTTATGCTTTGTGTTCTCACTCTTCCCTCAACCACTCTCCATCTGAATACATGGAACCCAAACACAAAGGAATACCATTTCATCTATTAATCTCACATCACATATACAGTCATCACACACACAGAACTGCATGTGTGTTTATGCTGATTAAGACATCTTGAATGTGTCTAAAAGTTGATCATTCTCTCATGAGGACAGAGACATGAATGAGCGCTTGCCAGCAGAGACATTAACAATGGACCTGTGAAGGGAGTTTATTATTGTTTGTTGATGTTTGTGTGTGTGTCAGCTGAGCAAGACCGATGGATAGGACAGCCCTGGCTGGACCGATGCCCACGTTAGTGGATCCAAACAGCCTCTCTCCAGACACAGACAGATATCATGTTCAGGATGGAAAACTAGAGTACATTATTGTTAGACAACCATTCAAAAGTTTGGAGTCTGTAAGACTTTTTCATTTTTGTTTTTCAAAGTCTCAAAAATACTGCAAAACAGTAACATTGTGGAATAGCAATACTATATTAATATATTTTAAAATGAAATGCATTCCTGTGATGACAAAGCTGAATTTTCAGCAACCATTACTCCAGTCTTCATTGTCACATGATACTTAAGAAATTATGGATGCACCGAAATGAAAATTCTGGGCTGAAAACCGAAACTGCTTTGAAATATTTATTTATAATTGTATTAAAAAAATATAAAGTAATTTTGTTGACTTCTTAATTTAACTAAATATTTTTAATGATACTGAATTTAAAAAACCAATAAAATAATCAGACTTTTAGAAAACATATTAATATTAAATATCAATATATAATATTTATACAGTTCTATGCAACAGAATCAGATAGAACAGTTTTTTTTTTTTAATTTTCCAAATAATGTATAGTCCTACAAAGCTATTATTATTAGAGCATGTGAGCAGAGTATAGCGTCACGAGAGGGCAGTGTCATTTTACCAGCGTTGACCAGTACAGCTGTACTACACCATGTTACAGCACAGTAGCGCCATTGCAAACAGTAACAAGTACACTACATAGAAATTTCCTGTCGGCGCATTATTTGAGCGGACTTTGCTTTTCCGGTGAGCATGAGCGGAACGCTCATTCATAGAGCGGAATATTGAGCGGGACGTCACACCGCGAGTGACGATGGCTAGAGCAGGGGTTTTCAACCTTTTAGGACATGCGCC